AGCTAGAAATGTCTCTCAGACAGGTTGAAATGCGACCAGCTACCGTCGGATCATCTGGTTGGAATGAGAAGTAGAGTTGAGTGTCATCAGCATAGCAGTGATAAGAAAAGCCATGCTTCTGAATGACAGATCCTGATGATGACATGTAGATGGAGAAGAGAAGAGGTCCAAGCACTGAGCCTTGAGGAACTCCAGTAGCAAGAAGTTGTGACTTAGAAACCTCACCCCTCCAAGACAGCCTGAAAGACCTCCCTGAGAGGTAAGACTTGATCCACTGGAGTGTGGTTCCTGAGAAGCCCATCTTCATGAGGGTGGACAGGAGGATCTGGTGGTTAACTGTGTCAAAAGCAGCAGACAGACTCAGGGCTTCAGTAACCGAGAGCAGGGCAGTCTCAGCTGAGTGGCTGCTTTTGAAGCCAGATTGGTTGTTGTGGTGGAGAGTTGACTGAACACAACTCGCTCAAGTGTCTTTGCAATGAATGGAAGAAGGGATACCAGTCTGTAGTTTTCTAAAAGTGCTGGATTTAGAGAGGGTTTCTTAAGCAGTGGGGTTACCCGAGCCTGCTTGAATGCTGTGGGAAATGTATTAGAGTGAAGAGAGGTGTTAATAATGTGAGTGAGCGCAGGTATAACTGAAGAAGAAATGGCCTGAAGGAGGTGAGTGGGGATAGGATCAAGTGTAGTAGGACGATTGGAAAGGATAAGTTTGGAAACGTCCGTCTCCGAGACTGGAGAGAAGGAGGAGAGAGAGTGCATATTTGTCATTATATACAGTGGGGCAAAAAAGTATTTAGTCAGCCACCAATTGTGCAAGTTCTCCCACTTAAAAAGATGAGAGAGGCCTGTAATTTTCATCATAGGTATACCTCAACTATGAGAGACAAAATGAGAAAAAAAAATCCAGAAAATCACATTGTAGGATTTTTAAAGAATTAATTGGTAAATTCCTCTGTAAAATAAGTATTTGGTCACCTACAAACAAGCAAGATTTCTGGCTCTCACAGTGGGACAACTTGCACAATTGGTGGCTGACTAAATACTTTTTTTCCCCACTGTATATCATTGGTTTGTGGTGTGGAGAATTGGTCATTGATGTTTCTTGATTCATTTATGAAGAATATTGCAAAGTCATCAGCTGTAAGAGTTGATGAAGGAGGAGGGGGAGGAGGACAGAGAAGAGAAAGTTTTGAAAAGTGTGCAAGAGTCAGAACAGTTGTTAATTTTGTTGTGGTGTCATTTTAGCAGTGGAGACATTTGCAGAGAAGGAAGAGAGGAGTGACTGATACACTAAGGTCGGTCGAGTTTTTTGATTTGCGCCATTTTCTCTCTGAAGCCCTGAGTTTAGAGCGATGTTCACGGAGAACATCGGACAGCCATGGGGCAGAGGGGGTAGTGCGTGCTGGTCTGGATGAAAGTGGGCAAAAGTTGTCTAAGCAAGATGTTAGAGTGGAGCAAAGAGTGTCAGTAGCACTGTAGCACTGCACTTTTTAAGACCCACAGAGAGATACTCTTAGAGATACAGAGTGAAACATCAAAAATACTTGAAATAGAATAAAATAAAATACATTATAAATGTCTTGTCATTTTGCCACCAATTTAATGTGTCCTTGATGAATAAAACTGTCAATTTATAAAAAAATTAAATAATTACACCTGAGAATTCACAAGCCATACAGTATGCTGACACTGAGTTTGGTGTGTTTGTAATTAAGCACTGCACTTTTTAAGACCCACAGAGAGCCTGTACAGTACAGCCTGCCTGTACTGTTTAAATATATTCACAACCAACTAACCACACTTCTTGCACATCTCTATCTTAGAGATACAGAGTGAAACATCAAAAATACTTGAAATAGAATAAAATAAAATACATTATAAATGTCTTGTCATTTTGCCACCAATTTAATGTGTCCTTGATGAATAAAACTATCAATTTATAAAAAAAAATAATAATTACACCTGAGAATTCACAAGCCATACAGTATGCTGACACTGAGTTTGGTGTGTTTGTAATTATTTCTATATCTAAGAGTATTGTATAGTATTTTTTTTTTTTGTAGTAGGTCCTACTTGTGTTTCTGTGTCCCAATGATAAATGCAATGACAACAGTTTCGTCTCTTTGGATAAAAGTACAATGTCTTACTCTATTACTGTATGGGAAACAAGGATTGAACGTGAAAGTAAATAATAAACATAATAACATGTCCGCAGCATTTCCCACTCATCTTTTTAATGAGATGATGATATGTGTGTGTGTGTGTGTGTGTGTGTGTGTGTGAGAGAGAGAGAGAGAGAGAGAGAGAGAGAGAAAGAGAGATTGAATACAAGTACAATATTATTTCTGCAAAACAAATAGATTATAACTCATGCAAATGTATGCATAATATTTATTTCTTTTCTGCATATGCATAACATTTTTCATTTGATCAATGTTTCTATTGTAGAGCTGTGCGGTTTTATGGTGATTTATGGTATCTTTAACGTAGTATTACCTTAATTTGCATTTCTATAACTGCAACAATTTATGTAAGATTCACTTTAAAGAAGATCTACATGTTTTAATTTTATTCATGAAGATGACATGGACAATGTGCCATGGTTTAATGGAAGACTGAAAAACGTATGAATTTGAAATAGCATTAAATTTCAACTACAGTCACTAGAGGGCTGCAGAAAATCATTTGCCATTTCCACATATATTTAGAAATAGCTTATCAGTAGTGACCATCTCAAGTTGATGTTCATACGGCAGAAATGCACGGTAAAAATCAAGCAGTTAGTTAATGTCATGTAATCAAACAGACGGTGAACACTATTAACAGCAATGATTATATGTTGTGATCAAACTTATAGCAAAATTTGGTAGTTTTGTACAACATTTTGTAGTTTTTAAACAATATTATTTAATGTTATTATTATTTACAGTATTACCGAATATACAGCACACATTCATCATTCAATTGTTTCTATTTTCCTACAGCCGTCCCATAATTTCTTCACTTTAAAAATTCAGTCAAATTCAATCAGTCAAAGTCCATCAAAAAGTAAAACTGGGGCATTATTCATTTGAACTGATATTAACCAATGTGATGGACAGTTCTGCAAGGACAGATACGGTTCCTCCAAAAATATTACACAAAATATACACAAACCTTCCTGAAAGCAGCGCTCTGGGTTCAAGACAACATTCTGAGTCGAGAGCTTACAATGGAACTAAATGAAGGGAACATTCTGGAGAGTTTAAAGCAGAAATGTGCATTATTTGAGTTGTATAGTGTCTTAATTATTTTGAGGTGGAACTAGTGTTCTAAACAGAAAAAAGTGCTTTTCTTGTACCCTTGCACGTATTGTATGAAAGTAGCAGGGTTTACTGGCATTAGGGTTAGAGAGTTCTGGGTTGTATGCGGTTTTATCACATGCAATGTTCAGGTCTTTTGGCTGTTATTACATGTGTGCATTTTAAGGTGTATTGTATTTGCTGGTTTACTTCTAGTGTTTTAACACCAAACCAGATGCATTGTGACATGCAGACATCTGTCCACACTGAACACGAAACTACTGCGTTTTGTGACACAGTCACAGTCAATCTGGAGATATTTGATGTTTAATTATGTGCAGTGTTTTGGATGAAAAGTCCACTTTGTTTCTGCATGTTTTCCTGTTTAAGGCAACAGTCCTTCCAAAATCTTAGAAAATGTACCCACCCTTAGGCCATCTGAGATGTAGAGGAGTTTGTTTCTTCATCAGGTTTGGAGAAATGTAGCATTGCATCAGTGTCTCAGCAATGGATGCCCTGCAGTGAATGGGTGCCGTCAGAATGAGAGTCCAAACAGCTGATAAAAACATCACAAGTAATCCACAGCACTCCAGTCCATCAGTTAACATCTGGAGAAGACAAAAGCTGAAACAAATCCATCATTAAGATGTTTTTAACAAATCCATAATCCATAATAACTCTTCCTCCAGTGAAAAAGTGTTCTGGTGTGAATCAGGAGAGAAATGATGAAAATTCCACTTTGTTTCTGCATGTTTTCCTATGTTTAAGGCAACAGTCCTTCCAAAATCTTAGAAAATGTACCCACCCTTAGGCCATCTGAGATGTAGAGGAGTTTGTTTCTTCATCAGGTTTGGAGAAATGTAGCATTGCATCAGTGTCTCAGCAATGGATGCCCTGCAGTGAATGGGTGCCGTCAGAATGAGAGTCCAAACAGCTGATAAAAACATCACAAGTAATCCACAGCACTCCAGTCCATCAGTTAACATCTGGAGAAGACAAAAGCTGAAACAAATCCATCATTAAGATGTTTTTAACAAATCCATAATCCATAATAACTCTTCCTCCAGTGAAAAAGTGTTCTGGTGTGAATCAGGAGAGAAATCTGCACAGATCAAGCAGCGTTTAAACAGCTCTAAACTAATATGTGGCTGGATTTTGAGACAACAGGAGATGCACTTTTTCACTGGAGGAAGCGTTATTATGGATTATGGACTTGTATTTTGGGTGGAAGCAATGGTTTAAAGTTAAATGGCCTTAATGATGAATTTGTTTTTCTAATAGACATGGGCTAGACTGTATCTTCTGAACACTAGGTGGTGCTGTATTCAAACTTTTCAGGCACGTTTGGAACACATAGATGATCATTTCCACCAAATTTTGTGCCAATACACGAAAGTGTTTAAATGCTTAAAGGAACAGTTCACCCAAAATTGAAAATTTGCTCAAAATATACGGTTGCTCTGATTATGGACTTAATGATGGATTTGTTTCAGCTTTTGTCTTCTCCAGATGTTAACTGATGGACTGGAGTGGTGTGGATTGCTTGTGGATTATTGAGATGTTTTTATCAGCTGTTTAGACTCTCCTTCTGACGGCACCCATTCACATCCATTGGTGAGCAAGTGATGCAATGTTACATTTCTCCAAATCTGATGAAGAAACAAACTCATCCACATCTCGGATGAGTGCATTTCCATGTTTGCCTGAACTATTCCATTAATTTTAAGGTTTAATTGCGCAGGAGCCCTGTGCAACCTTCATCATGGGGAACCTCTGCTGGACTCTGAGTCTCTGCGGCCCGACGTTAATCGGCGTTCTCCTCCTCTTCCTCCTCCTCTTCCTCACCACAGAGATGATGACAAGCACGCAGAGCATGGAGGCGCTGATGGACACGCAGACGCTGAAGAACAGCAGTGGTTTGTTCTCCGCGATGCGTGTGCAGAGTTCGCAGCTTGTCCCGTTGTCCGCGTCCCTGCAGGTCAAAGGTCGCAGGTCAGCGGCGGACGGAAAGCCGCGGTGGCTGATGATGTCGCGGTACAGACTGATGGACGCTTTGGGTTGAGAGTGATGAGCAGCGGAGCTGAAGAGACCGAACTGAAGATCATGATGGTCCTGAAGCTTCCAGATATAAAACCCTCTCAGATTGACGCCGTCCAACTCTCGAGCTGCTCGGAGAACAGAGAAAGAGGTTTCAGTCAATCATCACTAGCACTAGGGTTTATATTACTAGTAATATATTGTTGTATGTAATATAGTATTGTTGAAAAAAGCCATTATTTTTGTTTTCTTTGCACACAAAAAGTATTCTCATAGCTTTGTAAAATTAGGGTTGAATCCCTGATGTTTTACTGATGTCCTTGCTATGTTTCTGGACCTGGGAACATTTCAGTTGTGTTGCTGTCTATGAAGGAACAGAGAGCTCTCGGATTTAATAAAAAATATCTTACGGGTTTGGAACGACATGAGGGTGAGTAATTAATGACCGAATTTTCATTCTTGGGTGAACTATCCCTTTAAAGTTGTCCAAATGAAGTCTTAGCAATGCATATTACAAATCAAAAATTAAGTTTGAATATATTTACAGTAGGACATTTACTAAATATCTTCATGGAACTTAATATCCTAATGATTTTTGACATAAAAGAAAATTTGATAATTTTGATCCACTGTATTGGTTGGCTATTGCTACAAATATACCTGTGCTACTTATGACTCCAGGGTCACAAATATAAGTAATATTTACATTTAATTAAGTATTTCAACAAATTACTTATACAATATTTTATCTTCTTTTTAGTGTTTTATTTAGATTTTTTTAAATGGTTTATTCATTTTTTAAAATCTATTTACATTTTTATGATTTAGTTAATATATCAATAATTTAAAAACACAATTGCATGTTCACATTGGTCAATGGTCACATGACATGCAGATAAACAAAAAATATTTGATCCTTTTTAGTAAGTGTTTTATCTTTATATTTTATAATGACTTATTTTGATATTTTATTATAATTTTAAATGTTAATTTTAAATGTTGTGATATTGTTAATATTTCAATAATTTCACACATCTGCATGTTCGTGGTTCTCTGACGTAGTTAATAGTCACATGACAAACAAATTATTTAAGAAATAGAATATTTAGGCTTTTTTAGTATGTATTTTATTTTGATTGTTTTTATTGTAAAATGATTATTTTGTTATTATTAGCCAGTGTTTCATGATCCTTACTTAGTTTGGAAAACTGTGATATAACACACAGTGTTGTTTTCCAAATGAAAAAACAGGTCACGCTGTTCACAGCTTTATCACGTAATCTGTCAGATCACACACACACGAAAGCGTGAAGCGACGGTGACTCACATCCGCACAAACACTGTAAAAGCAGGCGCGCTGGGCTCAAGGATCATACAGTCTCCACATGACACCCGTGTGTCCCTGTGTGCTCATACAATCTCAAAGGTCGCTCATTAACAGCTCTGAGACTGAATTACAGCAGTGTGACCTTTGACCCTGATGTTAAACCTCAGGGGAAGCAGCTGACTATAGCGTGTAAAACATATAACACTAGATAAAACACACTGCAGCGCTAGCATTCTGCAACAAGCCTCTTTAATCTCTAATGTTGTTATTAGATATAATGAGGACATGTTTCATAATCACAGCTCATTAGTGCTCTGTGATGAGCCAAGTATCACTGTTTATATTGCTCATACTTAACGATTATATATTTAAATACACCATATTATCATAAAGACCAAAATATCTCAGAGATTTGAGGATAGAGGTTGCCAATGTTTTGCTTCAAATCAAATGTTGTTCTGATTTATCTCAGAGCTGGTTGGTTTGCTGTAATAATAAAATCAGTAATAAATATTTAATTATTTATTTAATATTTAATTTAATAAAAAATGGAACAAAGTAACAAATGAAATAAAAGTACAAGAACGTAATAATAGTAATAATAATGTAAGAATAATACAATAAAATAATGAAATAATTGATTAAATATTTATGTTATAATTTTATGTGTGTGTGTGTGTATGTATATATATATATATATATACAAATTTAAAATATATAAAATTAAATATAAAAGATAATTTAATTAAAAAGATAAAAATGATTAAAAAAAGAATAAAAATGAATAAAAATGTTCATCTGAAATTCTTAAATATATTTAGATTCTGATTCATATCAGAGCTGGATGAATTAGTTTAAGGAATTAAGCATTTTTTAAAAATGCTTATTATGAAAATTCTTTGGGAAAAATAATAATGGAACCAAATGCTAAAAGTGGGCACTTTACATATGACAAATGGCTCAAAATAATATAAAAAAGAATCAATCAATGAATAAAAAAAAATAAATAAAATAACAAGAATGATAACGATAACAAAAAGTTAAATCAAAATAATGAAGTAACTTTCCATTTTTTTAAATGTTAAAAATCTGTAGAAGTTCTGAAATTCTTAAATCAGAAATACAGTATATACATTCAGACTCCGCTCACCTTTTAGCGCCTCCTGCAGGTAGCTCCTGATATAGCTCTGTCTCAGCTGGTCATCATGAACCGCTTGATCGTCCACCCCTGTTGCCATGACAATGATGGGGAGGCGGTCGCCATAGCGATCCCTCACCCATCCCAGCATCTTGCGGAGGCCCCAGGGCACGAGCGCCTGCCTCAGGTGCGATGCCGGCCAGGTGATGTCTGTCATCAGCGCACAACCGTGCTCCGGCTTCTGCGGCTTCACGTTTTCCCATGGCGCCACCAAACGCGTCGTGAAGTGATTGAGAGCGATGAAATCCAGCGCCCCTTTAAGCTCCGCCCTCTCGGCCTTGGAGAAGCCATTGCCACGCCCCTCATTCCCTCCACCAATCAGAGGGTCGAGCAAATGCCCCAACTGTTGCTGGGCGGATTTGTGAGATTCTAAAAAATATCGTTTTAAAATGAAAAAGAAAATTAATGTAAATTGTGACCCTGGAGCACAAAATTGGTTTTGTGGTCCATGGTCACAATTATGGAACAATAAAACCAAGTGCTAAAAGTGGGCACTTGCTCTAGTGCTTTATATATGGCAAAATAATCAAAAATGAAATCTAATAATAATATCAACAGTTATAACAATAACAAATATAATAAAAAAGTAAAAATAAATAACTTAAATAACTTAAAATTATTTACCAATCAGAGGGTCGAGAAAACGCCCCACTTCGAACGCCAAAAACTGTTGCTGGGCAGATTTGTGAGATTCTAAAAATGGATTGGCCGGTTCCACCCAATCAGCATGGATAGCCAAACTAACAGCTCCACCCTGTTTCTGTCGAAACCGTTCATCGTAAATACGCCACGCTTTTGCGTGCGCTAATAGCAAATTCCGCACAACAGTTTTCCGGTCTTCTGTATACGCTTCCGTTAACCGATTCGGCTCATTGACAGTGATCCACGTCGAAACAAATTCTCCAAATTTGTGAAAGCAGAATGCAGCATAGCTAACGAATGCTTCCACAGCGCTAGCGTTCCTCCATCCGCCGTCAGCATGCAGCGCTTCGGGCAAACCCAGCGAAGGCGAGCGATAGCTGGGGTGATACAGCGTCACGACTGGCCGGATCCCTCTGCGCTGGAGCTCCATCAGCACACAGCGGTAGAAGCGAACCTTCTCCGGGTCACCACCGGGCGAGAGCTGCGTCCAGTCCAGGGCGAAGCGGTAGTGCGCCGACCCCGTGACCCCCAGCAGGAAGAGGTGCCGCTGGATGAACAGGAAGTCGGTGCACTGCACCGGCCGTGTGTGGAGCAAGATGCCCATCACGGGCGAGAGAGTGCCGTCACCCGACAGGTTCCAGCGGTACAGCTGCGGATCGGTGAACTGCGGCGAGAATGGACGCAGATGCACCTGAGAGAAACACAGAGAGAAATTCACATGAAACGCTCACAAACCGTATCTCAAATGCACTGAAAACTGCAGGATAAATTTAACTGAAGCTATATATAATAATGGGATCAAATTTGATTAAAAAAAACAAGTTCCTAATACCATATTAATTTATATTTAGTGCTGTCAAATGATTAATCATGATTGCCCAGGCAAAGAGGAACTCATGCCCACAGTGAGCGCCACTGATTCTTCAAGACTCAAGTGCCATTTTCTGACCACCTGTTGGGCCTATTAAGGGGGAGCTGCCCCATCGAAGCCCTTGTTGACTCTGGAAGCATGGTGACATTAGTCCGGCCAGAGTTTGCAGGGCCGGTCATGGGGAAGGGAGATTTTTGTGTCCTGCATTCATGGGGACACTAGGAACTACACCACTGCTGAAGTAAGCATGGTTACCCCTCGGGGCCAGTAACAAGTACGAGCAGGGGTTGTGGAGTGCTTGCCCATCCCGGTCGTGGTTGGCAGAGACTGCCAGGCCTTTGCTACCTACTGGACAGACCAATCTGCAGAAGGGAAGAGACCTCCCCGACCCTGAAGGCGCCGTTCGTCCAAATACCACCCTACTCCAACCCCTGGAGAGACGACTGATCCAGAAGCAATCAGCCCAGAGGAGGATAGAGGTGAGGAAGAACGTTCTGACATCACTGCTACTGCCTCAGAGGGCCCAGGAGGCGCGTAGGTACTCAAAGACATAGAATCCCACAAAGTGTTCTCTGAATTTCCCCCAGCAGAGACCCTCTGGGGGAAAGGATGGGACAGTTCGGCACTGCCTAGCTGCAAGATCCTGTGTTGACTCAAGCATGGAGGAGTGCACAAATGATTGAGGGCCAACTACAAGAGGGGTGAGTAGATTGAGGTATCCACACTTCATGATAAAGAATAAATTGTTATATAGAGTGGATCAGCGCAGAGGGGAAATTTTTGAACAGTTGTTGGACTCCAAAGCATATACTTTTAAGGTGTTGTACTTGGCACACACTCACCTGTTTGGAGGCCACCTGGGGTCAGAGAAGACCTATTAGCGCATCCTCACACGGTTCTATTGGCCCGGTATCAAGAAGAAAGTCGAAGACTATTGCCGGCACTGTTCTGAGTGTCAGCTTCATAGTCCCAAGGTAACATATCGAAATCCACTAATTCCTCTGCTTATAATTGAAACCACTTTCAGCAGGATTGCACTGGATATTGTGGGGCCCCTGCCAAAGTCCAGCTGGGGACAGAGATGTCTTCTGGTCATCCTCGATTATGCCACCCGCTTTCCAGAGGCGATACCACTCCGGTCGGCCACCTCAAAGGCTGTGGCAAGAGAACTGGTGCAGCTCGTTAGCTGTGTGGAGATAGCCGATGAGATCCTTACGGACCAAGGCTCATGCTTCATGTCTACTGTGATTAAAGAGACCTGCCGACAACTGAAGGTGAAACAACTCAAATCCTCTATATCCCACCACCAGACTGATGGGCTTGTCGAGAGATTTAACAAGACTCTTAAACAAATGCTGAGGAAAGTCATTGACACTGATGGGAAAATTCGGGATCAGTTGTTACCGTATGTCTTGTTTTCTGTTCGAGAAGTCCCACAGAGCTCCACCGGGTTCTCACCTTTCGAGCTCCTCAATGGGTGGCGACCTCGAGGGATTTTGGACCTCGCCAAGGAACGTTGGGAGCAGCAGCCATCACGATATCACACCATCATCGAGTATGTGGAACAGATGCACGATCGAATGACAAAGATCTGGCCAGTTGTACGAGAACACATGCAGCAGGCCCAACAACAGCAGGCCCGGGTATACAACCGAGGGGCACAGGTTCGAGAATTTCACCTGGGGGAAAATTTACTGGTTTTAATCCCATCCAGTGAATGCAAATTCCTTGTCAGGTGGCTAGGACCCTATAAAGTTGTAGAATGGACAGGCCCAGTCAACTACAGAGTGCGCCAACCTGGCCGGAGAAAGGGCCAGCAAATTTATCATGTAAACCTCTTGAAGCAGTGGCATGAACCAACTCCCTCTCCGAGTGACGTCTTTGCAGCTGGGGTCCAGACCCCCGTAACTCCTGAGGTAAAGATGGGTAGTCTCGTTGGTTTCTTCAGTTGCAGAACTTCCAATTTAAGGTGGAACACCGGGCTGGGAATTCTCATGCGAATGCAGATGCAATGTCCAGAAGACATGACTGCTGTGGGACGTGCGCTCCAAGCGGGAGCCTAGAGATGGAAAGGGGGGTATGTGGTGGCCAGAAAGAGGTATGGTGCCCCACAAAGCAGCTTGAACACCTTCAGCACTATGGAGAGCCCCATCAGAGGAAAAAACAAGGGCTGGGCCAGCCAGTAAGAGGGTTCAGGACCAGGGGTAGCTCCAACACAGCTGTTCAACTTTTTCCCTCTAACAGGGAGCCTTAGCTGAAGGCTGTTAGGGACAATCAACAACCACCACATAAAAGGGAACAGAGAGGCCTCAGTAGTGTCTCAGGCCCTGTCCACACGAACGTGGTTATTTTTAAAACTGCAGCTTTTTCTACGCGGTTTGGCCATTCGTCCACACGCAAACGCAGCACCAGTTCACTGAAACCATTTTTTAAAACTCCTGCCAGTGTGAAGATTTTCAAAAACTCCGGTTGCAGTGTTATCGTGTCGACAGCGAAAACCAGAGTTTTTGGCTTGTGACGTCAGCGCCTGCATTGTTATCTCCGCCTACTGGAAACTTTTTCAGGCTTCTGATTGGCCAACATGGCTTTATGGTTGTGATTATATCGCCACCTGTTGGCTTGGCATGCTCTTGACAGTGCTTCAAAGCATGCATTTGCGTTTTCATGTGGCCGGAGATTTTTTTTTAAACGGAAGAAGGAAAAACTCAGTTTATAAAAATACGAGCAGATGCTGAATGCTGGATCACCCTAAGCCCAGACACGGGACAAGTTCTTGAGGATGGAGGTTCAGTGGGGTCATGAGTAGCCTGAACACCTTTTAACTAACCCTCCATCTCTTCGGCCTTCCCTTCAGAGAGATTGATCTGCTGCCCCAAGAGCAAACCACAGAAGGAAGAAAGGCTTTAGTTGCAGTTTTCCCCATCCCCTCTCCCTCACCTTATTGAGAAATAAAGAGCATTAAGTTCTGTTCCACCAAATATCTGCCTGGTGCATTATCTATGTGGACAACTTGAGCTAATCTCACCAAATCTTGTGTTCAAGGGCAGAATAAAACAGAAAATGACTAAATCCATTTGTTAAAATGACTAAAACATTGTTTTTACAGCAATGCAAAGATGAAGTGTTTTTCTCTTCCCTCACCTGTAATACTGACTCGGACACACCGAACTGGAAGTCACAGGGGAATCGTCCCTCGATGTGCGGCGTGTTTTCGGCCGGGAAGCCGTTGTCTCGGACCAGTCGTCTGTAGAAGTGAGCACTGGTCTTCGGGAGCCTGCGGCGCTCAGGTTCACTGAAGTCGATGTAGAATAAACCTCTCCGTATGCTGTAACCGTGATTCCACTCGAACCCATCCAGCAGAGTCCAGGCCGTGTATCCAAACACACGCACTCCGTCTACAGAAACAGCTGAGAGAACACACATGCCAAGATATGATGATGTTATTGACAAACTATCTTTTATATGTCGTTTAAGAAGTTTTTTTTCGCATTTAATTCATTCAGCATTTCATTTCAATCTTTAATATAAATTACAAAATAAATAAAATGAATGAAAATATAAATAAACAAACAAATGCATGTATTTATTTATAAACATGTATTAATAACTACATTTTATTGATTGAAAATACATGTTTAGAAATACATATTTTATGTAGACTATTTATTAAAACTAAATGCATGAATAAATAAAACATTTCTGAAAATATTAATAAATGTTATGTATTTGTATATTTAGATACAAATAAATAACTGGCATTTGTTTATGTATATTTACATTTGAATAAACGTTTAATGAAATGCATGTAATAAAATGCATGCATTTATTAAAAACAAATTTATTTATAAATAAATAAAATGTATTTACTACATTTACATTTAGTCATTTAGCAGATGCTTTTATCCAAAGCGACTTACAAATGAGGAGAACAATAGACGCAATCAAAATACAAGTGCTGTGATAAGTCTCAGTTAGCTAAACACAGTACACTTAAATTTAATAATATAATAAATAAAAAGAAACCATATAGAATAGACAAAGAATAGAGTAAGCTAGTGTTAGCGGCCTTTTTTGCTTTTTGTTAATTGTATAATACATAAAAAGAAAACAAAAAGAATACAAAAAGAATTAAAAGAATAGAGAAGCTAGTTTTTTGTTTTTTTTTAGTAAATGATGTTAACAGTTAGTAGTAAAAAAGTTAGTAAATGAAGAGAGTGCAAGTCTAAAAGGGGCATTTTTTTTTAAAGAATAGAATTAGAATAGAGCAGTGGTTCTTAACCCGCGGCCCGTCACGAATTCAAATGGGGCCCACCATGCTGAACACAATTTTAAAAAATAACTTGCAGTTTTACAATTTGTTTTAGTTTTTACATTCATTAAAAAATGTACTAAACAAATATAAGCTATAATGTTTTTGTTATGTAAAATAATTTAGTTTTTCATATAATATTTTCAGACATGAGCAGACCTGTACTCACGTAATTAACCTTATGCATTTAACGAACACTTACAAGCGCACGCTTTGGCAGAATTCAATTCAAATAGTCATCAGCAGCCATTAGTTTGGTATAATTGAGCATCAGAATAGACACATTTGTTATTAAGGGACTTTCGGTTTGCCCTGCCACTCACTTGAAGATGTTCAGGCAAAAGGAAACAGCCATACTATGCAGCAATCATCCTTAATAGGTTGTTTGCGATCACGTGATTCTGATGACGCCCGAAATGCAGCTGGAGGGCAGGAAGTGATTTTTCTCCATAGAAATCACTAGCAGAAACTCAAAATACCAGTGTTTTGCATTGTTTATGGAAGCTTAAATCGGACAAACCGAGAAACCACAAGGAGCTTTTATCGTGTACAAAAATATTGTGCGCTATTTCCTCGCTTTCTAGGCTATAATCGATTCAGAATTTAAATCAAATTTGGTTTACATGCTGCTAACAGGACCAACAGCCACATACCCTGTACATGCTGCACAGTTTCAGGAGTGACATATATCCCGCATCCCTCATATAAATACGTGATAATTTTCTCCTATTAAATTCAGATAAGACAGAGATATTACTTATTGGACCAAAAGACAGTACGCCGAATCTCGTGGATTACAATTTGCAACTAGACGGATGCACGGTTACTTCCTCTACAGTCAAAAATCTGGGTGTTATATTAGATAGCAACTTGTCTTTTGAAAATCATATTTCCCATGTTACAAAAACGGCATTCTTCCATCTTAGAAACATTGCCAAGTTACGAAACATGATACCTGTGCATTCATGACCTCTAGACTGGACTACTGTAATGCACTGCTAGGTGGTTGTCCTGCATCTTCAATAAACAAGCTACAGGTAGTCCAAAATGCAGCGGCTAGAGTCCTTACCAGGTCAAGAAAATATGATCATATTACCCCAATTTTACAGTCTCTGCACTGGCTACCTGTTAAGTTCCGTATCAGTTACAAAATATTATTACTTGCCTATAAGGCCCTTAATGGGTTAGCTCCTGCATACCTAACTAGTCTTCTACCACGCTACAATCCATCACGCTCCCTAAGGTCACAAAACTCTAGACTTTTGGTAGTACCTAGGATAGCAAAGTCCACTAAAGGAGGTAGAGCTTTTTCGCATTTGGCTCCCAAACTCTGGAATAGCCTTCCTGATACCGTTCAGACACACTCTCTCTGTTTAAATCTAGATTAAAGACACATCTCTTTGGCCAAGCATTCAAATAATGCATCTCATAATCTTTTACTGCAGTCATAATCTTTTACTGCAGTTATATCTAATCAAATGCACATTATTATTCATTAGTTTGGGTTAAACACGTAAAACAACTTTTATTCAAATTCTGAATTGATTATAGCCAAGAAAGCGAGCAAATAGCGCTTCCATATAATCACTAAAAATCTGTCACTCACTTCAATTGATCACAATCTCACGATGTTCCTTTATAATCAGTGAAGCTCTCTGAACGGCAAATAATATCTTATTTACGTGTCTACGTGTGGCGTTTAGCACGGAGTGAATTCTGACTGTCACAATACGTGCGTGAGGTGGCAGCCCAATCTATTTATATCTTTATTAATATCTTAATATATTATTATATCCTATAATAACCATTTACACACACGAGCATTATTACATGAGCTTCGCTCCTCCCGACCGCAGACACAGGTTTACAAGCCACTTTTTCCTGCGTTTTTCAATCAAATTCTTGAATTTTCCCCACTTATGAACAACACATTTTCGTACACGATAAAAGCTCCTTGTGGTTTCTCAGTTTGGCCAATTTAAGCATCCATAAACAACGCAAAACACTGGCATTTGGAGTTTCTGCTTGTGATTCCTATGGAGACAAATCACTTCCTGCCCTCCAGCTGCATTTCGCGCGTCATCAGTGACGTCATGTGCAAACAACCTATTGCAGAAATGTGGCAAAACATCTCTGGAGAGAACCTCAGATCATTCAATTCAAAAGTGCTTTCCATATTTGGATCAACATAGGCTACATTTGTAACTTTTGCAACTTCATTATGCTGTTACTCCTTTTCGAGCCGAATTTCACAAAATTGGTCAGCTCCCGACAGCATCAGGTGTTTTATTAATGGTGAGTAGAATTATTCATTTATTTCAATGAATGTAATCGATTAGACATCAGAACATTTAGGCTATAATGTTATAAATCTGGTTGGTTTGTACTGGTGACGTAATATGTAAATGATATGCGTGCGGCCCGTGGGACTTGCACTCGGTCCACAGTGAACCTCTGGAATAGAGAGTGCTAGATATAGAGGGACAAATAAAGATGGAAGAGATGTGTTTTTAGCTGTTTCTTGAAGATGGCTAAGCACTCAGCTGCTGGGATTGGTCATTCCTGCAGGAGGGAACATTTAATGTAAAAACTACTTTATTTACTACAAATAAATGTATAAATACATATACAAAACAAACAAATTAATACTTTTTTTTTTTTTTTTTTTACAAGCAGAAAATTTAATTTTACATTTTCACATGAGATCAGAGGCGGACTTACCCATTAGGTAAAGGTAGGCAACCTCCTTGGGCCCCCAAAAGCCAAGGGCCCCCTAAAATGCTTTTCATCTACGAGATGCGCATTAAGCGCGGACACGTGAACGGTTGCCATTTACAGTGTTTATCACCACGACAAGCGTCTGCGTGTCCGAGTTTAACACACTTCTCGTGTATCCTGCTTGTAGCAAATGGAAATATCATGCATCTGAAGCTGTAATTGAATATTGAGCAACAGTGCGTATTATATGCTTATTGTTTTAAATGCTGCTTACTTATTCATAAGAACCCAAGTAGAGGACGCATACACAGTTTGGTTGATATAATCCTTAGGTGTGTAAATGTATTTCCTTTTAGTTTTCCTTTAAATTTGTAGTTAAAACAACTAAAATAAGTGTATTTTAAAGTTTAGAATTAGACAGCCTTTGACACACAGGCTTACGCTGGTAACTCATCACACTCATCAGTGGACTTTCCTCCTCAATATAGGCTATATTTTTCTCATTCTCACTAATTCAAGTTTTTATATGAATGAATCTCTGAAGGGAACCGACTGTCTTCAGAAAACTTTCCATAGCATTTTCATTTTATCTGATTAGTGTTTATGAGCAGCGCTGCTTTGTTTACAGCCGTTATCGGGGAAACCGCTGTATTTCTGATGTTCCAAAAGCGCCTCCTGCTGGCAGAGAATCAATGTGCATTTTCAATAATCCCGTCTGCCGTTTTTGTTCAGACCAACGCGAAAATCCACCCACATAACCCCGTTTTAAATTAATATCATAAGTTATACTTCCGTCTCATCTCTTTTCTTAAAAAGGCTCAATTGTGAGGTTTATCATTTTATAATTTATTTAGTTTTTGTGAAAACTGTAAATCAGTCACTATGTCGTGGTCTACAACATGAAAGAAAGCCATTATAACATGTACATGGAAAAACAGAAATCAGCACTGATGCTGCGCTTGACTTTCGGATGCAGAAGCAGGGATGATTTTGTGGAGCAAAACATATTTGTGTTGGTCAGATTTAAGCAGAATCACCCTGTATATAGTCATTATATGTAGATATAGACATAATGAAGAACAGTTCATGCCTGTACTAGGCTGTTTATCACATTTTATGCTTTCATTTTGAAGATAATAGTATATGTTATAATTTGTCTAGAAGCATTAATGTTATATTGTGTCTTGTTTTTGAGATGACACATCACAAACTTGTGTTGCTGACTTGTTTTTAAAAAATGTTTGCCCAAATTTTGCATTTATTTATTTGTTTATTTAGTTAATGTCAAAATTATCAGAGTAACAGGGTGGAAAAATAATGCATGGTCTCTGTGGGATTTAAATAATAATAATAATAGTAATAGTAATGAAAATGTAAATATAAATAATATATAATTAGAAATTAAAGTTTAAAAAATAAAAAAATAAAAATATAATTTATAAAATATTTGTATTACAGTAAAAGAAAACCGCCCCTGCATGAGATGCATATCAACAGCAGGTGTGAACAGGGTTTAAAAGACACACACCTTGCATGACTTGCATGATGAACCTCTTCATCAGATAAATGGCCTTTGTGTCCTGGACTCCGACAGAAGCGTCAGAGAACCAGCTGCTCTCTGCCAGCAGCAGCTGTGGATCACTGTAGGTCTGCTGAACCCAGACCAGAACGCTCCTCAGGTCCAGCTTCACCGTCTGCCCGAACCGCGCCAGTCCTTGGCCCACCCTCAGCATCTCGGGCCCAAAGGCCAGAGAGAAGAAGTCTGCGGTGCCCTTGATCCAGAGCCGCTCCTGCGCACTAAACTCTGGGATTACGCCGCGGTGCGAGGCCTTCAGCGACTCGGGGTAATCTCCGCTTCCATATATGGGCTCGGCGAACCAGCCAATCACAGCCTCCATGGCCTTCTGACAGAGCTCCAGATTAGTGGGCGTGGCCTGGCCGTGAAGAGGCTCCACCCAATGAGAGCCGAGCGTGATGGAGACATTACCGTGCTGATGGCGGCGGAAGTGTTTGTCGTAAAGATGCCAGGCTTTCGCATGAGCCTGCGGAGACACCAGAGCAAACCGTCATCGCTACAGAAATCAGCACTGATGCTGCGCTTGGCTTTCGGATGCAGAAGCAGGGATGATTTTGTGGAGCAAAACATATTTGTGTTGGTCAGATTTAAGCAGAATCACCCTGTATATAGTCATTATATGTAGATATAGACATAATGCAGAACAGTTCATACCTGTACTAGGCTGTTTATCACATTTTATGCTTTCATTTTGAAGATAATAGTATATGTTATAATTTGTCTAGAAGCATTAATGTTATATTTTGTCTTGTTTTTGAGATGACATCACAAACTTGTGTTGCTGACTTGTTTTTAAAAAATGTTTGCCAAATTTTGCATTTATTTATTTGTTTATTTAGTTAGTTAATGTCAAAATGATCAGAGTAACAGGGTGGAAAAATAATGCATGGTCTCTGTGGGATTTAAATAATAATAATAATAGTAATAGTAATGAAAATGTAAATATAAATAATATATAATTAGAAATTAAAGTTTAAAAAATAAAAAAAATAAAAATATAATTTATAAAATATTTGTATTACAGTAAAAGAAAAATGAAACTTTACAATACTTTATAATGTCACTAAAAACAATACTTTATAATGTCATTAAAATTACTATTAAAATTAACAAATTAAAAAAAAAACCTGTAATGAAAATTTTAATTAAATTTTTTTTTTTTTTTGTGTGGAAAGGAAGTAAAATGTGCCTATTTTTTAGAGGCATTACTTTCTTTTCTAACCTTCTTCTTCTTATTTATTTATTTTTTAAGATAAAACATGAATAACTGATATTGTTGACTTATTAAGAATTATGATAATTTTCATTTGCATTATGAAAAAAACATAATGCAAAAAATATATAATGTTTTTGTATATTTATAAAAAATATTCATTAAATAATTGCAACACACTGCAATTTATAAATAGAATTAAAATCACTATTAAAACATTATAAAAAAGAATAGAAATAAGATTAAATATATATAAATATAACCTAATATAAATAATATAATTCATTTTAATATTTAAAAAAAAAAATTAAATCATTGAATTACAGTAATTTCAACACACTGCAATTTATAAATATAATTAGAATGACCATTAAAACATAAAAAAATGTATTTAAAAATTACAATAATTAAAAAAAAATCTTATTTTGTCTAGGATGTAAAATGTGCTTAATTGCCATGAAAACAATGTCAATTTAACATGTTTTACCTTCATGCAAAAAAAACCCCAAAAACAATCTGTTGATTTTTTTTTTTTGTGTAAAACGTGATATTTTTAACAAAACTATTTATACATTTGTAACTGTATTTTAATTTATCTCACATTTCTGATTCACATTTGGAAGCTCACGAATGCCTAAATATCTTTCCCAGTGAAGGTCACAGTCGCGCCACTGCATTATTTCCGCATTCGCTCTTTTCACAGCGGAGCTGAAAAACGAGCCCGACCTTTGACCTCTGACCCCAGACTCACCCTGAGGAGGTTGTGTGCGGCGATGAAGGGGTCAGCGGGGTCATTAAATAATTGCAACACACTGCAATTTATAAATAGAATTAAAATCACTATTAAAACATTATAAAAAAGAATAGAAATAAGATTAAATATATATAAATATAACCTAATATAAATAATATAATTCATTTTAATATTTAAAAAAAAAAATTAAATCATTGAATTACAGTAATTTCAACACACTGCAATTTATAAATATAATTAGAATGACCATTAAAACATAAAAAAATGTATTTAAAAATTACAATAATTAAAAAAAAATCTTATTTTGTCTAGGATGTAAAATGTGCTTAATTGCCATGAAAACAATGTCAATTTAACATGTTTTACCTTCATGCAAAAAAAACCCCAAAAACAATCTGTTGATTTTTTTTTTTTGTGTAAAACGTGATATTTTTAACAAAACTATTTATACATTTGTAACTGTATTTTAATTTATCTCACATTTCTGATTCACATTTGGAAGCTCACGAATGCCTAAATATCTTTCCCAGTGAAGGTCACAGTCGCGCCACTGCATTATTTCCGCATTCGCTCTTTTCACAGCGGAGCTGAAAAACGAGCCCGACCTTTGACCTCTGACCCCAGACTCACCCTGAGGAGGTTGTGTGCGGCGATGAAGGGGTCAGCGGGGTCTCCGGTCTCTCCGGGAGCGTGAGCGCCGGTCCCATAGCCCTGGACGGCCAGGAGAAACGGGTTATGCATCGTAATCCAGTAGCGGACCTCGGCTCCGAACGTTCGGAAACAAAACGCAGCGTAATCTGCGAAAACATCCGCCGTGCTTCGGTTGAGCCAGCCTCCGAAGCGCTCCTGCAGGACCTGCGGCAAATCCCAGTGAAACAGAGTCACGACTGGCTCCACCTGAAGCTCCTTCAGCTTCCCGATCAAGCGGCGGTAATGCTGCACTCCGGCCGGGTTGGGATGCGCCTTCGCGTTTCCGTCTGGGAAAATCCGTGTCCAGGATAAAGAAAAGGCGTAGAAGTTCACACCTAGATACCGAACTGACTCCAGATCCTCCTCCCATTGGATGTAGCTATTGCTGGACGGATCTGTGTGACGGGTAAAGCGATCCCAAACAGACTCGCCTTTCCCATCCGCATCCCAGGACCCTTCGGTCGGGAACGCCGCAGACCCGACGCCCCACAGAAACCCACTGGGCAACTCACCAGTCTGCAGGAACGTCTCGTTCAGCGGCTGCAGCCACAGTTTAGATGCTTTTCCCTGGACTTTCTCAGACGTTCCCCATAAAATCAACACTAAAGAGACGCATACAGACCAGACAACAAACATCGTGAGCCACCTACAGGAGCACAGATCCACTCATCGTCCTCCGCTGGAAAACCAAAGCATTACTAATAAAAGAAAACCAGAAGCTCGTAGCGAGAGAGAGAGAGAGAGACGCACATAAACACTGAAGATCTGAGAGTGCAGGAAGACGAAGCTCTGATCAATGATTAACATGAACTCTGATCGTCTCATGACTTACAGCGTCTGAGAACGAGAGACAGAGAGAGAGAGACTGATGATGGACGGAGAGAAAGAAGAAGAAGAAGAAGAAAGAAGCAGGGAGAATGAAGGATATTTTATCTGGAAGATCAATGGAGCAAATTTAATTTGGCTTTTTCTGAAACACACACTGATGTCTCTGTGGGACTGTACACTATCTTAGATCACACCTTTTATACTCGGCTTAATTTATATATCAGTATGCACAATATCTAATATACAACGTTCATCAGTCTAAATACATGCAATGTGATTAAATATATTTACTAATAAATAAAAAAAATAATATATTTAATAATAATAAAAAAAAATCTCAAAATAGGCTTGGTTTTCTTTAGGATGCAAAATATTATTTATATAATAATAATAAAGAAATAAATGAACAGAAACAAACAGACAATAAATAAACCAATTTAAAATAAAATTAAATAAAATAGTCTTTTCTGAATCATCATTAATATTTTCTTTAGTGGAAACAACATTTTAAAGACTCTGGACTTCTTGCTACACTGTTACTTTGCACCAAATTTGATATATTATTTTTAATAATTATTTACTATTGTTATTGTATTATTTATTTGTTTGTCTGTTTTTATTGCCATACCAGCATCTGTGGTTATTTTCATGCCAAGATCCATGAGACAGACAGCAGTATAACAAAGTAATTAAAAACAACAATCGACAACCAACTCGACAAAACATTATACACGTTTTTCATTTCAATATCTCATTAAAACTGTTTTAGAAACTGTTACTAAATTTCACAAATATTTACAAAAGAAACGGCAAGTAACATATTTAATTACATCTGAAAATATTAAGTAATATACTCCAATAATCTGTTTTATTTACAACTTAGAAAAATCATACCGTGTAAGACTAATTTCATAACTAGTATTTTTTACATGTATCATAAGTGCACACAATATTTGAATGTTTTGCATAACCTGAAAAAATACAGACTAAAAATTGTGCACAAAAAATAAATAATAAACAATAAAAAAAGTTATATTTACCTTTATTTTTCAGGTTTCTCCACATATCACGCCTCATGTTTAATCTCAAGCTCTTTATCGACACGGTTGTCTAGAAAGAGTACAGTAGCAAAAAAGTTAATCAAAGGAAAAATTGGAAATGACGTCACAGCTGAGATATAATTTTGACAATTATGATAAATAATTTTCAAACAAGTAATATTAAAATAGCTTGTTTATCATAAGATAAGGTAATAAAATGTATATAAAAAAATACAAATTAAAATAACCCAATAATTCATATTTTATTATGTTTTTTTCATATTTAAGATTCAAAGTTTAGGTCTGGGATTGTGCAAAAAAAAAAATCTATAAGCCTACATTCAAGGCATTTGAAAATAAATTATGTAATAAATGAATAAATGCAAAACTCTTTTAATGTAACGTTCATATAAACAAAGAAAAGGGTGGAAATCTGGTCGTTTTAATAAAACTCGTAATACAATATGGGACATTAAAGTGAATATGTTTAAAGATACCACCTAGATATGAACATGAATTATTTGCTAAGAATCTCTCCAACACATGCAGCGCTGAAGAACATCATCTGACCTGGCTTTCACTCGTGAAGAACAGCTTCAATATCCCTCTAAAGCTGTTTCATGAGCCTCCGACATCAGACCAGCAAACAACTGCAATGAAAACGGCAATAAACCTTTGCTTTACATTCAGGGTTGAAGATCAAACTCAATTGAAGTGGATGAGTTTTATAGGCCTCAGCGGTGCATGTGATTTTGTTTGGAGACACAGTTTGGGAGCGTTTGATTAGATCAGAAGACCGTTCAAAGAGGATGCTGGACAAACATCAACAGCAACACAAGAGACACAAACACAGAAAAGCTGATTTTCTGTCTGCAGAGCCCTTCAAAGACAGCATCCTGAAACACAGCAGCTTTAGTGAGTGAACTTACCAAACAACTCGACTCACACCCAGCTAATGAAAATATGATCTCAAAATATTTTGCTAACGTTACCATTTATGAAAACATTATTTCGGAATGTTTTCTAAACGTTCAAAGCGTCCGGCTTTTTAAACGTTCAAAAAACTTTTTTTCTTGGTTATGTGAACATTAAAGACAATGTTAAAGGGAACGTTTTGTTTTGCAAACGTTATGGAAATGTTCATTTTTAATGTTCTCTAAACCATCTTAGTTGAATGCCCAACTGTTTCAGAACTCTCCATGAACGTATAAATCATGTTTTTGTGCTAAATTTTTGAGATTACTGTTAAAGATCAGATCACTTTGAATGAACGTTCTATTAATGTTACTGGAAGAATGTTTGTGACCCTGGTCATAAGGGTCGATTTTTTTTAATTGAGATGTATACATCATCTGAAAGCTGAATAAATAAGCTTTCCATTGATGGATGGTTTGTTAGGATAGGACAATATTTGGTTGAGATACAACTATTTATATATACATTTTTTTATTTTTATGAAAAAGTATATATAAACAGATTTGTGTGTGTGCATATATATATATATATATATATATATATATATATAGTTTTAATTAAGTTGCATATATGAATAAAATATTTCTGACATATTGTTGCTATACAATACCAAATACAAATCTACTTATAGGCTAGATATTATTAACATATGTACATACACAAATTTTACTAGGGGGATTTTATACATTTTATTAAGCTATACCTTCACCCAGAGAATATACGCATGTGGAAATTATGATATGGCCTTATAGGTAACATATATGGCAGTAATACTCTTAATAAAGGGCAATATACTGTCATAGGATATATTACATTTTAATATTGAAATGTAGCCTTAATTTGCTCAAAACTAGTGGCCATAATTACACATAATTACCTTCATCCTTCGCGTCAGGAGCACGCCGTCACCTGGTGCTTTAAAATACTCAAGATTCTTTGATAAAATACCTGATGCTCAAATAAAACATTATGGTTGCTTAGTCACACACACTTTAGAGAGCCTTGGATAGTGTTTGTAATGGTTAACAGCATTAACTGCGTCTGAGGCAAAATGAAGCAGTTAAAAACAATGCAGGTAACAGGAAAAAGTTAATTTACATGCTAATTAAACAGGAGTTTAAAATATACAACTCATGTACAGTAAATTTAAATGCCAACATTACCATATTCACCATATTATAACATGTAATAACTTACACTCTGTAATGTCTTTTGATTTATATTGAAAGTAGTCCAAATGCACTATTTCCCAAATGCCTTCATTTGCATTATTATTTTATTTTAGCAAATTTAAAATACTGCTATGCAACCACAATGCAAACTAATGCTAGAGACTTGAGTAAAAGTGAAAACTGTGACGAGCCAAAAATGCGGTTGACTTGAAACAGGAAATTAAATCAAGTGTTGTTTCTCCTTCAGAAAGATGAAGCCGTCGGGTTTGTGGCTGCTGTCTGTTTATGGCACGTGTTTCCACCCGTCTCTCATTCTGGCCATTAAGAGGATCGTAGTGAATTACTCATCTCAGAGCCTGTCCTCAGTGCCCCCCGGCCTCAAACCGTGCACGGAGGACTTGGATCTGTCGCTGAATCGCATCCAGACGCTGAGCGCCAAAGACTTTAGCACAACACCACGACTCCACTTCCTCAATCTCTCCTGGAATATACTGGAGAACATAGACAGGGATGCATTTAACTCTACGCCGGCTTTGGAGATCTTGGATCTGTCGCACAACAGACTCCAGAACCTCTCGGACCAACCTGCTTAAAACGGGACGTCTACAGCTCTTAAGACTTGTCATCCAACTTGTTTTCCATCATGGCGCTAGAAAGGGAATTTTCCACTTTGAAAAACCTGCAGTGGTTGGGCCTGAGCGCCAAATCAATCAGCAACCAAGACTTCACTTGCATTGCCAATCTTACTCTGAAAACGCTCTTTATTAATGCAAACAGCCTACAGACGTATGAGGAGAACAGTCTTACAGAAGTACGCTCCGAGAAAGCCATCATCGCCTTGTCCAAAAGCGACTTTGACATTGCAATCGCGGTTGATGTTTTTACGGCATTTAAAGAAGTCGAATTCACTTCGGTGGACAGCGGGATGAAGGCGCCCCAGAGGAATCCTACGCACCGTTAGCTTGGAAATCTCCAAAGTGGAAACCACCTGGGAAGTTCTAACAAGCTGTGTAAACACAATATTGCAGTCTACAATTCGACAGCTTTCTTTCTCAGACCTTACAATGACAAAAATAGAAGACGGCATACCGTTGTCCACAAGCCACATGTCGGATTCCTTTTTTTACAAGAGCATCCGTAACTGAATTCATCTTCAATCAAAAAGAGCGCTATGACTTCTTCATAAACATGCCTGCAAGAAACGTCAGTTTAACCCAAATGCTAATCATCTTCATGACCTGTCCTTTGACTGTTAGCCAGATCGAAGTGTTGGACTTGTCTGATAGAAAACGTTACAGAAAACATCTTCTCGGTTGATCCAGATACTGAATGCAGTACATTGACAAACCTAGTAAAGTTGATTCTGAAGGGCAACAACTTGAAACTCTTTAGACCTCTGACCTCATGAATCCCTCTCATGGATTCGCTTCAATACATCGACCTCAGTCAAAACACACTTACCTATTCGGAGGAACAAGGCAAATGCATTTGGCCTCCCAAAGTTGTCCAACTAGATTTGTCTTCAAATGGGTTCGACCACAGCATCTTCAAGTGTTTGCCCGATTCCATACGGATCCTAAACCTTCGGAATAACCGAGTGACCACAGTTTCTTCAGATCTTCAGGTTTTGGACGACTTGAGGGTCCTTGACCTTATGGACAACAGTCTTCTAGACCTTCCCACCTGCGTTCCGAAATCTGCAGAAGCTCTCTGTAAGATCGAACTAAATTCATTCGCCTTTACCGGGAGCCCTCGAGACTTGTCTGCATGTTGACGATCTGGTCTTGAGTCACAACCCTTTAATCTGTACATGTGCTTTGCGTGAAGTCACCACTCTCATCAAAGACCGAGTGACACGACCGAGAGGAGAAACTCTTGGTTTGACTCCCGACCACTGGCCGGAAGGATACCGATGCAGTTACCCAGAATCCTGGAGCAACTCCTTACTAGAAGACTTCTACCTTCCTGAGATCTCCTGCAATGCTTGGATCCTGGCTATTACTATTCTGATCCCGACAATCACTGTAATAGTCGCCGTTAGCCTTCTTTGCAATCGTCTGGACGTGCCATGGTACCTCAAGATGATCTGGAAATGGATGCGAGCCAAGCACAATGCAATAACTTCCCAAGGAAAGCGGAAGACTTGGAAGGGTTGCGCTTCCATGCATTCGTATCGTACAGCCAAAAGAATGCTGACTAGGTAAAATCGCAATTTCTTCCCAAGCTCGCAGGCAACTACGGCTTGCAAGTGTGTCACCACGAGCGCGACTTCATCCCGGGAAACGATCGTCCAGAACACCCTGCGATGCATCGAGCAGAGCCGAAGGTGTGTCTTTGTGCTCTCCTCTCATTTCGTCTAGAGTGAATGGTGCCACTACGAACTCTACTTCGCCAATCACACGCGAGTGACGGACAGCATTATTCTCATTCTGCTGGAACCTCTGCCGTTGTATCTCATTCCCTCCAAGTACTACCAGCTCAAGGCTATGATGTCCAGACGCACCTATCTGGAGTGGCCACCGGAAGGAGCCAAGCAGAAACTCTTCTGGGCAAATCTCAGAGCAGCTCTGCAGTCCGACCTTCCCAGTCCATCAGAGAGAGAAGAGTGATCAGAGGAATTTTAATAATCATTTCATAGCGATTGTGAAGCAGATACTCATTTAAAACAGTGGTTCTCAACCAGAGGGCATCAGCAAACTTCCACAGGGGCTTCAATATGACTTAAAATGATTTGAAATAAGACAAAACGTGTCTAAAATTAAGATATTTATGGACCTGGAAAATGGAGTTTAATCTTTTTCTTTTTTAATACAATGCCAGCATCATGTGGATAGTTCATGGTGAGAAAATTTTATGATAAAACTACATCAGGTTTTTAAAATATATTATTCCAAAAACTCCATAACTAAATGTAACTTTTTTAGAAATGTCTTGCTAGAATATGGAGAGATTTCACATACTAAATAATGTAATTATTAAATACATCATGGAATGACGCAATAATTAAATGAAAATACAATTAAAACGTAAGCATAAATATTTAATTTAAGGCAGTACCTTGCATCATTTTTTTGTCACGTGAAAAGCTACATTTAATTATAATGCCTATTTATGCTTACATTTCATTGCACATTTATTTATTTATTGCAAAATTCCATGATGCAAATAATAATTGTATCATTTTATTTAGTCTAAAAATATTTCCCAAGCTCTAAAACATTTTATTGCTAGAATTTATGAGTAAAAATCATATTAAAAATCCTTAATTTGTATGCAATGAATCGCAAACAACTGAAAAGGCATGCATATTCATTGATTAAAAAGACTGGGAACCCTGAAGAAAATTCAGAAATTTAAGGACTTGGGAGTCCAAAAAGGTTGAGAGCCACTGTTTCAAAGTTATTAATTACAAAGAATGGTACCTAGCATGCAAAAGTACCAGTCCTTGAAATTAATAACCATAAATGAGACAAACTACATCCTGAGATTTACAGTGAATAGAGACCTCAAGGAAGACCACGTTAGTGATGGATGGACTGAAACAGGGTAAAGAATGACAATTAAATTCCATATTCAACTAGAGAACAAATGTTTTATTTATTATGAGCTGCCTGCACAACATTTATTACACAATAACACAGTCTAGTTAGTTCATGAAGCATTTTACAACAATACAATGTGAACATATTGCATTTGCTTTAACAGTGAATTCTGCATTTTACAGACAAATAATAAAATGCTGAATATTTTTGAATGTTTGTTAATTAACACCTAAAATAAAACCATGACCTAAATGAGATCTGCTCGATGCAATTCCATGATATTTCCCAAGCTCTAAAACATTTTATTGGTAGAATTTATGAGTAAAAAATCATATTAAAAATCCTTAATTTGTATGCAATGAATCGCAAACAACTGAAAAGGCATGCATATTCATTGATTAAAAAGACTGGGAACCCTGAAGAAAATTCAGAAATTTAAGGACTTGGGAGTCCAAAAAGGTTGAGAGCCACTGTTTCAAAGTTATTAATTACAAAGAATGGTACCTAGCATGCAAAAGTACCAGTCCTTGAAATTAATAACCATAAATGAGACAAACTACATCCTGAGATTTACAGTGAATAGAGACCTCAAGGAAGACCACGTTAGTGATGGATGGACTGAAACAGGGTAAAGAATGACAATTAAATTCCATATTCAACTAGAGAACAAATGTTTTATTTATTATGAGCTGCCTGCACAACATTTATTACACAATAACACAGTCTAGTTAGTTCATGAAGCATTTTACAACAATACAATGTGAACATATTGCATTTGCTTTAACAGTGAATTCTGCATTTTACAGACAAATAATAAAATGCTGAATATTTTTGAATGTTTGTTAATTAACACCTAAAATAAAACCATGACCTAAATGAGATCTGCTCGATGCATCGCGACTCTAAACATGTCTAAAGCTTCATATATGATGCAAAAAAGTTGATACATTAAAATAAATGTCTGAAAAGTATCAAAACTGGACTGATACATAGGTTAAAGATCAGAGGTCGCTCAGGGTAATGACTGGACGAGGATGATCTTTTCATTAATGCAGAAGCGGTGGAGCACCGTGAGCAGGGAAAATGCTGAATATTTTTGAATGTTTGTTAATTAACACCTAAAATAAAACCATGACCTAAATGAGATCTGCTCGATGCATCGCGACTCTAAACATGTCTAAAGCTTCATATATGATGCAAAAAAGTTGATACATTAAAAAAAATGTCTGAAAAGTATCAAAACTGGACTGATACATAGGTTAAAGATCAGAGGTCGCTCAGGGTAATGACTGGACAAGGATGATCTTTTCATTAATGCAGAAGCGGTGGAGCACCGTGAGCAGGTTTTCTCCGCACCGTGACACCTGACGCTCCATCGCCAGCCGAAAATCCTCCTTCACTCCTTTAGTGATTCCTCGAGTCACGGTGTGGTGTCTATGAAAACAGACACACGGCGTGTGAGAACACACAGAGACGATACGGGCCACCAAATACAGAAAGAACCGAGTACTGAACCAGTGTGAACGTGAACTTTATGCAGAACCCATACAAGAAACAAAATGTTTCGAAACAGCAGTTTCTCCACATTCAGACAGATATAAGAGCAACGCTCTTCCAATCAAACACTGAACACACACACATGAATACTGTGGCAGAAAATACACATAAGGGTGAACCTCACAAAGAAACGTCTGGCTCATATTGCATTCAAATTCAAAAATGAAATAAATATAAATGAAGTAAAATAAAAATAAAGATTCATAATTATAAATAAACTAATAGCTAAAAATAAAATACACACAAAGATACATAATTGTAAACAAATAAACTAAATAAATACATTTAAATAAAAAAGTAATATAAAATACAATTTATAATTATTAAAAAAAACAATTATTTAAGAAAACAGCATATTTTGGATGATGGTACTTTTTTTGTTTGTTTGTTTTGGGCATAGTAAAGTTTTTAAGAACATTAAAAAAATCTGTAATGTGAAAAAATTATATGATAAATAAATAAATCATTTTTCTACTTGAAACAAGCAGACAGTACAATTAGATGAGTAAATACATTGTGTATACTTGCACTTGTTCTTCACTATTTAAAATATATATTTTTTTACATTTCAATAAAGAGAATGAGACATTTTCCGCATTATCATTACTGTAAATGTGATTTTTGCACACAAAAAAGAAAATAAAAATTTAAGCAAAATATAATTTATTTTTAATTTTGATTCCCAGGTGCGATACAACTCAGACATTTCTTGACATCACCTGTGAGATTCACTCGTGAACGTAAAACGCTGCAATTCAATGAAAACTACGAACACAATGCAATATGAAACGAACAAAAAAAACATTCCTCGAAGACTTCACAACAACTCGAGTAAAACACAACAGGAAAGGAGCCGTATGAGAACGGGAACGATCTTGCAAAATGGAAATGCTGGAGCGGAATGAAGAGAAATAATAGGAGGAGAATGTGAACACATGGTCAGGCTGGGAGGAGTCTGGGAGGGTTGGGGGCGGGGTTTCGGTGAAGGGGGCGGGGTACCTGTCAGCCTTCTGAGCCCCTGGAAGCAGCAGGGTGTTTAACTCCACCCCCAGGGCGGGGCTGGGGTTCCTACGGACAGCAAACACTCATAAACGCACCGCCAGCACTACGACATTTACTCCCACAACCCTACAAACAGCCCATCAAGAGCTAGCGGCACATCCAAAAAAGCTTTTTTAATAAAGCTTAAAATAGCATTTCTCCCAGTCTGTTTTTCATCTAAAATACCATTATGACAAAACACAGTCATTTTCTACTGATTTACAATGTAAGGTAACAGCTCTTGCTTTATATCAATTCAGACATGAATGTAATATATGTATTTTTTTTTTAGATAATTTATAAGTACACTCTTAAAAATAAAGGTTTCTAAAAAGAAGTTTTTGCAGTGATGCCACAGAAGTAGGGTCACTCCGGGTCAAATCAACCAAATTTGAGAAACGTCTTCATTTTTTTCTGGAGTAAGACAAACATAAATAGTGACAAAAGCCAAAATATTAAACTTCATGGATGTATATTTACTGAGTAATCCACTGTTTTAGAGAGGAGGGTCAAAATGGCAATTTTCACCTGAGATTCAGAGCCAAAATACAGGGGGTTAAAAATGACTTCAGAAAGATTGAAGCATCATCATGTCACTTTTACACAGAGATTGGTAGGTCTGCTAGTAAAATCTGTTGACTTTAGCAATCTTTGTTGCATTATATGCCAATGGTGACCATTCACAAATGGGGAAAAGCACTTTTTGTGCTCCAACGTTTGCAGGCGTGTAACTGAAGAAGTCGTCTTAATATCCTTTTAGATTTTGGTTCTTAAACTTTTCTTTTAGTGTCTTAATTTTCAAGTCTCTATATGGTTCAATCCCAGACATATGCGGATCTAAATGTACCATAAAACACCTGTCTGAGATGCACAAATATACTTTTTTCCAAGCTTTGCATGTCTGTAACTCTAGAAGTATTAAATATATCTTAATGTCCTTTCAGATTCTGGTTCTTAATGAACTTTTCTTTAGTAATCTTTATTTTTTAGGCCCTGTATGGTTCAGTCACAAAGATATGGGGATCTCAATATGACTTGAAATATGAATTTTACCCATTTTCAGTGGTCGAAAACCAAATGTGGGTCACTTTGCTGATATTGATATTTTAAGAAGAATTTCTGAAGAACAAATTAAAGTACTTCTTTTACAAAAAACAAATCAACACGAAATGACCCAAAAATAACCTTTCAGTGATCAGTTCTTAAAACCTTTTTTTTTTCTTAGTGTGAATTACATTTTTAATAATCTTTTATACAACTTTCACTCTATAAAGAACCTTTAGTGGCTCCATGGATGATAAAAGTTCTTAACGGAACCATCAACGCCAATAAAGAACCTTAATTTTAAGTCATGATCTAGCTCTGCCACTCATCCAGTATTTTTAAAACTATGTTCTCGATGCTAAACCCTAAACAGACCAGAACTTGCAAGTTGCAACCCCTTTAAAACCCCACACAATGTCAGACAAAAGACCATAAAACTGATCAAAAAGGCTTCAAAAAGCAGCTGGAGGACATGAGACATCAGCACTAAAGCAGGGTAAAGAAAACACGCTAAGCAGACCGCCTTCTTCCTGTCCCGGCTGTTAGTCTTAACCGCAGCCTATTCGATTTGTCCAAAACAAAAGGAGAAAGGAAACAGGAAGGAGGGAGGGACCTTCGATGATCACTTCTCATCATCTCCAGTTCCATTGGCTGACGTGAGTGATGTGGGCGGGACTTACTTGATGAGCATCCCCTGATTGGGCAGCAGCTCCAGCTGGACCCGCCCTCCTTCTGTCGTGCGAAGGTAAGCAAACTCTTCTAACATGTCAATGTCTCAGAGAGAAAGCTGGTCAAGGACAAATATTCACTCATTCTGAATTACGATTGGAATTAGTGTCTGATCAAAAGTTTTTCACCATGCTAAACATTTTAAATGATCCCGCAGAGTGAAAAATTAACTCCATAAAGCTACTGCATCAACATTTAATAGTTTTTTGTCTTTATAAACATCAATGTCTGCACCAAATGCTCAGTTTGGGCCTTTAAATAAAATTGAGACATTTTTTCCTAGAATTTTCAATATATCAGGTATCATATTCTCACTATATGAGCCTGACGGATGAAATATGACTAAACATTAAACACATATGTTGTGTATAAGTTCAATGAACTCATAAAATAGATTTTACTGACTATTATCTCATATGTCAGGTTTTCTAGGATTCATTTTTAGTAGTCTATAAATAAATATGAGATCATGAAATCTGTACGCATTAGACAAGAATTAGATTAATTGTTTAAAACAAGGTTTGGTCAAGGCCTTTATGTATAATGCATTATAAAGGGTTATTAGAGGCTATAATGCATTATAATGATTCCTAATGTGCGTTGTAATTGTCATAATTATAACCACATTTTAAATGCATAGTGTAACAATGAATTGATAAGGGTCATAATGCATCAAACAATTATTCTTGAGATTGTATAATGCATTACAACGCATACTTTTAATGCATTAAAACTCCTTTCATAACGCTTTATCCATAAAGGCTTGAAGTCAAGGTTTTAGATGAAGCATGACACTGGAGAGCTGGTCGATCTCTCTTCTGAAGGATACTGGTGACGTAGTTGAAGAAGTTCTCGTACTGGAAGCTGCCCTGCTGGCAGATCTTATCCACCGCCTTCAGGAAGAGATTCTCACCCTGCGGCCAATCATACTGCAGGAGAACCACCACGTGACCCAGAGCCAGGTCGTCTCTGTTATCTGTGAAGGCCCTCAGCTTAGAAAGAGAGGGAACGAGTTAAAAACCGAATCTGAGCCGTGAGGTTTGAGCGGGTGAGACGTTCAGATCCGGTACCTTAAAACAGGCCAGCATGAGCTGAAGACAGAAGGGAAGGATGGATTTACTGGAGCAGGGGACGAGCCTCAGATCGTTACCTAGCAACAGAGGAGAGAGAGATTCCTGTTATGGCAAAAAAAACACCTGGCTCATGAATATTAATTAGATGACATGCGCTGCCGGTTTCAGTGACATTTAAAATGTAAAAGTTCAAATTCTAAAGTTGTTTCAAAAAATGTTGAAAGTGACATTCAAAAGTTTTTAGACATTCAAAGTTTTTTTTTCCAAATCGTTCAGCCCCAAAACAAAGTCTTCAGAGTAATTTTTTTCAGCTATTAAAAAAACAAACAAACAAACAAGCAAACAAAAAAAAGATAATTTACAGCCATTTTTTTTTTCCAGTTTTAATTTTAGTTACTTTAGTATATCAAGTTAAACAATTAAAATAAGAACTACCGCATTGGCAACTAGCTAAAATTCATTTTTTTTAAATTTATGTTCAGTTTTAAACTCTTAACTATAACAACCCTCAATATTACTGCTAATGGAAAGAAGGTTAACACTTCACCACAAGGATTCATTTGTTAACATTAGTTAACTACACTAGTAAATATAAACAAACAATGAACACTTCTACATCTGTTAATATTATTTCATGTTAATTTTAACATTTATTAATACATTTTTAAAATCAAAAGTTGTATCTGTTAACATTAGTTACGTCACTGTGAACTAACATGAATGAAGAATTGTATTTTTTATTAACTAACATTAACAAAGATTAATATATGCTCTTAAAATATATTGCTCATTGTTAGTAAATGTCATCAAATGTTAATAAATGGTACCTTACTGTTAATTTCGATAACCAAAAGGGTCACTACTGTGAAATAAATATAACTTATTAATAATTATTAAGTTACAAACAAAATATTAATATAAATTAATATTTTTTTATAAATAAATAATATAATAATATGACAGATTTTTATGAACATCAGTTCTGGTCATAATTACCAAAACATTTTCATTTTCTAGATTTTTACCCTTTAATTGCCGGTTTGTTCACATAATGCCACTGGTGTTTTTATAATAAAACACACGCACAAAAATAATAAATGCTACGCAGACTTTTTATTATTATTACTGTCTTGAATAAGTCACTGATTAACAACAACATCAGGTGGAAAATAGTAAAAAAAAATTTAAATAGCAAACGTTTTGAAGCCTTGCAAACAGAATGAAAGCTTATTAAGGAATGCATTATTTTATGCTTTAATGGCACTGAGAATAAATATTGTCGTTTTAATGGGTATCAATTAAATTTCCACACTGTAACATCTAATTAATGTATGCTGTTAGTATTAACACAGCTCAAAAAAAAAAGAGCCAGGGTTAATAAAATAAAAATATAGTAGTAAAACAGCAGATTATGTATGTGCTATAGACGCACCTTTCCTGGTTTTGCTGCGGGGTTTGCGCTGCTCCTCGCTGCTCTTCACCGCTTCATGATTCTGAGGCATCAGACCAGAGACAACCTCCAGAAGCTTCTCACACGCCATCTGACAAACCACAGCGTGAACACGATGAGATGCACTACATACAGCAGCTCTGATGCAGTGTGTGTGTGTGTGTGTGTGCATGCGAGTGAGTGTGAGTGTGAGAAAGTGCGTGTGTGTGTGCGCGCGCGCGCGCGTGTGAGTGAGTGTGTGTGTGTGTGTGTGAGTGAGTGTGTGTGCGGGCGTGCGAGTGTGAGAGTGTGTG